CAGAGGAGAGAGAAGGAGAAGGAAGAAGAGAGGAGCGAGGGGAGAGTGACGAGAGCCGAGACGAGAGAAGGGAGAGAGAACGCAGGAGAGAGCACGAGAGAGAGACGGAGGACGCAGAGAGAGCGCACGAGAGAGCAGACGAGAGAGAGAAAAGAAGAAGAGGAGAGAGGAGAGCGAGGGAAAGATCGAGGAGAGAGAGAGAGCAGAGAGAGAAGAGAGAGAGAGAGAGAGAGAGAGAGAGAGAGAGAGAGAGAGAGACAGACACAGACAGACAGACAGACAGACAGACAGACAGACAGACAGACAAATATACAGGCAGACAGAGGGAGAAGGGGGAGCGAAACAAGAGACAGACAGACAGTTATTAAGAAGCCAATTATTAAGAAAAAAAGAGATAGGTAAACAGAACGAGAGAAATAGACAAAAGAGCACGAAAAAAGAAAACCTAGAATAGAAACCAAAACAACCCAACAGACAAACCAACCGACAAATAAAAAACACAACACACAACTTTGCAGAGACGCACGAGTTACCCCCATAAAAAAATATATATATATCACACCCCCAGCGCGCGGCTCGACCACACGTCCTCTCCCCTCACCCTCCGACTGGACACTGATCTTCAAAACCGATTCGCCGAGGTCTCCATCCCTGGCCGGTCCCCCCCCCCTCCCGTCCTCCCTCCCCCCCCCCCCCCCTCCCTGCCGACGCCGCCATCTTCGAATGTCTTCCAGTTTCTCGCAGCTTTTCTGAAGGAGGCAGACGAGCGAGGACTTTGGGGTGGGGGGGGGGGGCGGGGAAGGTAATGGAGGATGACTTCGGGTGGAGGAAGTGAGAAGGATGTGTCGGGTTGGGGGAGGATGGCTTTTGTGGGGGGGGAAGGAGGATGTGTCGGTGAGGGGGGTGGGGAAGGATGGCTTTGTGGGGGGGGTGAGGAGGATGTGTCGGGGGATGGCTTTGTGGGGGGGGGGGTGAGGAGGATGTGTCTGGAGGGGGCTAGGATGCTTTGTGGGGGGGGGGCGTAGGAGGATGTGTCGTGGAGGGGTGGGGCAGGATGGCGGGGGGGGTGAGAAAGGGATTTCGGTAGGGGGTGGGGAGGATGGCTTGTGGGGGGGGGGTGTAGGAGGATGTGTCGGTGGAGGGGTGCGCGGGAAGGATGGTTTTGTGGGGGGGGCGGGGTTGAGGAGGTTGTGTCGGTGGAGGGGGGGGGTAGGATGGCTTTGTGGGGGTGGGGTAAGAAGGATTTCTTAGTGGGTGGTGTGAGGATGGTTTTGTGGGGGGTGGGGGGGTGAGAAGGATGGCCTTTGAGGGGGGGTGGGGTGGAGCGGAGGGGGGTAGGGAAGGACGTATTCGAAGGAAGGATGGAGGATGTTGAGGGAGGGGGGGGGGTCAGAAGGATATCTTTTGGGGGAAGGATGTGTTGGGGAGGATATCGGAAAGGATGTCCATGGGGGGGGGGGGGGAGGGGGAAGATGGAGGTGGGTTGGTAAAGAAGGATGTCTTGAGGGAGAAGGATGGAGGAAGAGAAGGATGGAGGAGAGAAGGAATGTCCGAGAAAGGATGGCTAGGGGGGGGAGGGATGGAGCGATGAGCTGTCTATTGGGGGAGGTTAGGTATGGGGAGGATGCCATGGGGTGGGGTGTGGGGAGGGAGAGGGGGGGAAGAGATTCTTTGGGGAAGATGTCCAGAAAGGGGGGGAGGGGGGGGGGAGGGGAGGGGGTAAGAGAGGGTTGGATCTCCTCCTTTTCTTTCGTTCACAACATACTAAATCATCATTTTTTTTAACGCTTTCGCCCACAAATAACAACAAATCTATTCGCTTTCCACCCACAACAACACCCTATTTTTCCCCCATTCTTTCGCTCACAACAAGCAACAACAACAAAAAATAACAAACCCTTTCCTTCAAATTTACAACCAATGACAATTTTCCTTTCCGACTCTGCTGCGCCCAACGTTTCACTCGCTTTCGCTCACAACCGCCTACAACTCTCTGCTTTCGCTCAACAATGCAACGAGGTTCTTGATTTCGCTTTCTTTCGCTCACAACAGCTCGCTATAACAGGTTGGTCTTTCCTTTTGCTTTCGCTCACAAACACGAGTCTACTGTGGATTTTTTCTCTTTTAACAACATTTTTGTAGTTTTCTTTTCGCTCAGAATAGCAGCAATAACAAATATGTCAATAACAATGATAACAACAACAATGGTGAGGATAACATGGCAACAGCTGCACAGTAACAATAACAACTTCAGCAACAACAACAACAATAACGTTCAGCAACATCAACAATAACAAAATTATCAACAACTACAACATCAATAACAATAACATCAACAACAAGGATAATAACAATAACACCAACATCAACATCATCAACTACAACAACATAACAACGTATCATCAACAACAACAACAACGATCAACAACAACAACAACAACAACGTCATCATCAACAACAACAACAACAACAACAACAACAGCCAACTGGACAAGAGGGAAGTGAGGAAGCTGGAGGTCACATAATTATAAAAATGACGACGAAGAAATAAAAAAAACGATAATGATATTAAAAAAACAATAAAAAACAACTAAAGAGATGGCAAGTGAAATTGAATGAAAGGGCTTAACGTGTCATTGTTTTGTTTTTTGTTGCGCTTGTCTCGTTTCACTTTTTTTTATTGTTATTATTCAAACAAGATGGCGGGAAAAATTGCCAGAAGAGGAGTTTGCAATTTATGTTATTTTGTTTTTGAATTTTTCGTCTCGGTATTTCTTTTTCTTCTCTCTTCTCTCTCTATCTATCTATCTGTCTGTCTGTCATCTGTCTCTGTCTATCTGTCTGTCTGTCTGTCTGTCTCTCTGTCTCCTGTCTCTCTCTCTTCTGTCTGTCTCTCTCTCTCTCTCTCTCTCTCTCTCTCTCTCTCTTCTCTCTCTCTCTCTCTCTCTCTCTCTCTCTCTCTCTCTCTCTCTCTCTCTCTCTCTTCTCCCCTCTTCTCTCTATCTTTATTCTCTCTCTTTGACTCTTCAACGTGCCCCACCCACGAGCCAAGCGACTTTAATCCCTATAACCCGAGGCCATAAGACTCGATCTAGCCTGCCCGACCCGCTGCCCTCGAGCCAGTATGTTAAGCCAGTCTCGGCCATATCCTCTTTTAAGCCAAATTTGCCAAGATTAACATATATAAATACACTCGCGCTCTAAGTTATCTTAACACGCGGGAGGAGAACCTTCGAGAATACGCCTTCGTATTACATCAGTTGAATAACCTCAGCGGATGAAGAGAAAGAACAAAAAAGAAAGAGGGAAAAAAGGGAAGGTTCTTTTCTCGACTCCACAAAGAAATCGAGAGTTATTTGTTCGGCGTGAACACCTGTCGGGCCCTGGAGCTGTTCTTGGTCTTCCTTTTAATCGTCGTTATCGTCTCTCTCTGTCTCTCTTCTCTGGTTTTATTCCCGTCTACGCTTCATATGGCATTTCCAGGAAACCGCGAGGAGCGGAAGGAGAAGAGAGCGAACGGAGGAAGAGGGAAGGGACGATAATTTGTGACACGGCGAGGCGAGAGTAAACTTGGGCACTGACCCATCACTCTCCATTGTCATGAAGGTCTACAGATTAACCCTTAAGCCCGGGTGCCATAAGGGTGCTAATCCCCGCCGCTGTCCTTGGATGCCATGGCACTCTCCTTATATGTCCGCTCATAATCATACTTCCCAGCCATACACCTCCAGCGGCGGCCATAGAGGTCAAATTCCCACATCAGGGATTCATACCTGGCCTCAGGAACGAAAAAGCGCGCGGCCGGTTAGAGGAATCTGGTCCCTGTCGCCCTCGGTCATACGGGCGCTTTTGGCGAGCCGTCGGCAGGCGTGTGTGGGCCGTTTCCCGTATATGGCACGCCGAACCTCCAGCGTTACCAATAATACCAAACACGCGCCTTGTCAAATACCAACTAGATCTACCTTCACCACTACGCACGCACAGATACCAAACAAAAAAAGAATCACTCCTCTTCCTATTCTTTCTCTAAACTTCAAAACCCAAAAACATCCCCAAAATCTACCCCCTCTCCTGGGAAAACAAAAAAGAGAAGAAGAAGGGATATGCGTCACCTCGGTTCCCGGAGAAGAAAAACAAAACAAAAGCGGTCCTCCGAACTGATTTCCTTGGGCGTGGAATGTTTGCGTCCCGGAGGAGCCGTCGTCTCCCCCCTTCGCAGCTCCACCTGTTCGCCTTCCCGCCTCTAAATCTGTTCTCCGGAGCCTCTGGAGAACAGAACACCCAGCGAAGACTCAGGAGAACGACGAAATGAGGGAGTCGGCACGCCCAGGCTCCGATCGGGGTGACCGTTGCGGCGGCGAAAGCAATTAAACGCCAAAGACAATGACACTGCCGATTTCAAGGTAACCGTTCTGTCAAGGTAAACGCATTGTAAAAGCAGCCTTATATGCGGGCGGCCGGTTGATTCGGGCTCATGCCTGCGCTACCTGGCCGGTTAAAAAACGAAGCGGACAAACAAAATGCAGGAAAATATTATAATGAATAAGATAAGTGAATGATGAGATACTTAGACGATTGAATGAATTAATAAAGGAAATATGTGAATGCGTAAAGTATTAGGAAAAAAATGTTAGGGTAAATAAATTATAAAATAAGTTAATAGGATAATAAATAGAATGAATAAATATGTAAATAATGGTAAAAACCGGGATATATAAGTATATTGGTGTTATAGACAAATATCTAATTTACAGATACAGATAATGAATCAATTTATAAATAAATTAACAAAAAATACATGAATATTATATAGAATGCCAATGAATATACGAAAAATACGTAGAAAAAAAAAATGTTAAAATCAAATAACTGAAACATAAAGATTAAATAAATGTCCCTGTCTTTCTAAAAACAAGATCAAAGTCACCCAAAGAAAATAAAAAAGTATTTTGTCTCCTTCAAAATGCTTTCCAGGTGTTCTCTCTGATTTTGTCTCGGCCGTGGATGCCAGAGACACTTGTCGGGCATTTAAATATTTTGCCGATAAGATCTCTCTCTCTCTCTCTCTCTCTCTCTCTCTCTCTCTCTCTCTCTCTCTCTCTCTCTCTCTCTCTTCTCTCTCTCTCTCTCTCTCTCTCTCTCTCTCTCTCTCTCTGTCTGTCATGTGGCACGATCTCTCTCTCTTCCTCTCTCTCTCTCTCTTCGCTTCTCTCCTCACGATCTCTTTCTCGGTTTTCGCTCCGCTCGGTACTCTCTCTCTCTATCTTGTTTCTCTTTCGTGTCATCTCCTCTCTCATCTCTCTCGTGCGATCTCTCTCTCTCTCTCTCTCTCTCTCTCTCTTCTCTCTCTCCCTCTCTCTCTTCTCTCTCCTCTTCTCTCTCTCTCTCTCTCTCTTCTCCCATCTCTCTCTCTCTCTCTCTCTCGTCTCTCTCTCTCTCTCTTCTCTCTCTCTCTCTCTCTCCTGTCTTCTCCTTCTGTCGCTGTCTCTTGACAGCGATCTCTCTCTCTCTCTCCTCTCCTCCTCTCTCTCTCTCTTTCGTCATTCTCTGTCTCCTCTCCTCTCGTCTCTCCTCATCTCTCTATCTCTCTCGTCTCTTCTCTCTCTTCG